TGAGGCCCTTCTTTCCTCTATGAGATATGCTCTGTTGAGGCCCTTCGTTCCTCTATGAGAGATGCTCTGTTGAGGCCCGTTCCTCTATTAGAGATGCTGTGTTGAGGCCCTTCCTTCCTCTAAGAGAGATGCTCTGTTGAGGCCTTTTGTTCCTCAATGGGAGATGCTGTGTTGAGGCCCTTCCTTCCTCTAAGAGAGATGCTGTGTTGAGGCCATTCCTTCCTCTAAGAGAGATGCTGTGTTGAGGCCCTTCCTTCCTCTAAGAGAGATGCTATGTTGAGGCATTTTGTTCCTCTATGAGAGATGCTGTGTTGAGGCCCTTCCTTCCTCTATGAGAGATGCTGTGTTGAGACCCTTCCTTCCTCTAAGAGAGATGCTGTGTTGAGGCCCTTCCTTCCTCTAAGAGAGATGCTGTGTTGAGGCCTTTTGTTCCTCTATGAGAGATGCTGTGTTGAGGACCTTCCTTCCTCTATGAGAGATGCTGTGTTGAGGCCCTTCCTTCCTCTAAGAGATGCTGTGTTGAGGCCCTTCCTTCCTCTAAGAGAGATGCTGTGTTGAGGCCCTTCCTTCCCCTAAGAGAGATGCTGTGTTGAGGCCCTTCCTTCCTCTTAGAGAGATGCTGTGTTGAGGCCCTTCCTTCCTCTAAGAGATGCTGTGTTGAGGCCCTTCCTTCCTCTAAGAGAGATGCTGTGTTGAGGCCCTTCCTTCCTCTAAGAGAGATGCTGTGTTGAGGCCCTTCCTTCCTCTAAGAGAGATGCTATGTTGAGGCCTTTTGTTCCTCTATGAGAGATGCTGTGTTGAGGCCTTTTGTTCCTCTATTAGAGATGCTGTGTTGAGGCCCTTCGTTCCTCTATGAGAGATGCTGTGTTGAGGCCCTTCCTTCCTCTAAGAGAGATGCTGTGTTGAGGCCCTTCCTTCCTCTAAGAGAGATGCTGTGTTGAGGCCTTTTGTTCCTCTATGGGAGATGCTGTGTTGAGGCCCTTCCTTCCTCTAAGAGAGATGCTGTGTTGAGGCCATTCCTTCCTCTAAGAGAGATGCTGTGTTGAGGCCCTTCCTTCCTCTAAGAGAGATGCTATGTTGAGGCCTTTTGTTCCTCTATGAGAGATGCTGTGTTGAGGCCCTTACTTCCTCTATGAGAGATGCTGTGTTGAGGCCCTTCCTTCCTCTAAGAGAGATGCTGTGTTGAGGCCCTTCCTTCCTCTAAGAGAGATGCTATGTTGAGGCCTTTTGTTCCTCTATGAGAGATGCTGTGTTGAGGCCCTTCCTTCCTTATGAGAGATGCTGTGTTGAGGCCCTTCCTTCCTCTAAGAGATGCTGTGTTGAGGCCCTTCCTTCCTCTAAGAGAGATGCTGTGTTGAGGCCCTTCCTTCCTCTAAGAGAGATGCTGTGTTGAGGCCTTTTGTTCCTCTATGAGAGATGCTGTGTTGAGGCCCTTCCTTCCTCTAAGAGAGATGCTGTGTTGAGGCCCTTCCTTCCTCTAAGAGAGATGCTGTATTGAGGCCCTTCCTTCCTCTAAGAGAGATGCTGTGTTGAGGCCCTTCCTTCCTCTATGAGAGATGCTGTGTTGAGGCCCTTCCTTCCTCTAAGAGAGATGCTGTGTTGAGGCCCTTCCTTCCTCTAAGAGAGATGCTGTGTTGAGGCCCTTACTTCCTCTAGTGTAATATACACAACAACACAGCTGCTGTTATTGAACATGTTATACTGGATGTTAAGTCAAGCAGGCCTCCATGTCTGTGGTAACCCTGACTGTTTGGGTTAGCCATAATTGGTATGTTTGTTCAAAGTAGACCTCAGTGGTAGTTTTAAGGAGAAAATGTCTGCCAGAGCCACTCCTTCCTGGACTGACACGGCGCCTTGCCTTTAACCAGAGCATGAGAGTGAGTCCTGGATTAGACTTTTTATCAAGAAAAAGGTTGCAGTTGCTTCACCATGTTTCCTCGAAATGTGTATCGTCCACTTAGCAGTGAAAATGTACACTGTGTTTATGACTAAAATCGCAGAGAAAATTAATGTAGTGGTCCAAGAACAGAGCCTTGAGGAAATACGAAATGTACCTTCGTTTTATCCAAGGAATTTCCATCCACAGAAATAAATGGATAAAATTGATAAAGCTCACCAGTAGAGATGGGGGCAAGCCCTGGGGGACGATCCTGAAGTGGTTTCTGCCCAGACGGAGGTAGGAGAGCTGGGAGAGGGGGCTGAAAGCTAGAGGATCCACATTCCCTTCACTCAGGACATTCCCCTCCAACTCCAAGGTCAACAGGTTGCTCAGACCTTCCAGAAATTACACAGCAATTAAAATATTTTCCTATAAATGTCAGACCTGTGTTTGTTCATAGTTTTAGCCACTTCCAGTGACAATTATTTACGTTTGTGCTGTCAAAGTATTTTAGATTGAAGCATTATGTGGCCTGAAATGCCCCCAACTACACCGGCTCTGACGCTCGTCGGATGTGGCAGGGCTTGCAAACTATTATGGACTACAAAGGGAAACACAGCCGCGAGCTGCACTGTGACGCAAGCCTAACAGAAGAGCTAAATGCCTTTTATGCTCGCTTTGAGGTAAGCAACACTGAAGCATGCATGAGAGCACCAGCTGTTCCAGACGACTGTGATCACACTCTCCGTAGCCGACGTGAGTAAGACCTTTAAACAGGTCAACATTCACAGACTGATTACCAGGACGTGTACTGAGAGCATGCGTGGACCAACTGGTAAGTGTCTTCACTGACATTTTCAACTTCTCCCTGACTGAGTCTGTAATACCTACATGTTTCAAGCAGACCACCATATTCCCTGTGCCCAAAGAAGCGAAGGTAACCTGCCTAAATGATTACCGCCCCGTAGCACTCACGTCGGTAGCCATCAAGTGCTTTGATAGTCTGGTCATGGCTCACATCAACACCATCATCCCGGAAACCCTAGACCTACTCCAATTTGCATACCGCCCCAACAGAGCCACAGATGACACAATCTCAATCGGACTCCACACTGCCCTTTCCCACCTGGACAAAAGGAACACCAATGTGAGAATGCTGTTCATTGACTACAGCTCAGCGTTCAACACCATAGTGCCCTCAAAGCTCATCACTAATCTAAGTACCCTGGGACTAATCACCTCCCTCTGCAACTGGATCCTGGACTTCCTGACGGGCCGCCCCCCAGGTGGTAAGGGTAGGTAACAACACCTCCACCACGCTGATCCTCAACACGGGGGCCCCTCAGGGGTGTGTGCTCAGTCCCCTCCTGTACTCCCTGTTCACCCACGACTGCATGGCCAGGCACGACTCCAACACCATCATTGTTTGCTGATGATACAACAGTGGTAGGCCTGATCACCGACAACTATGTGAGACAGCCTAGAGGGAGGAGGTCAGAGACCTGGCAGTGTGGTGCCAGGACAACAACCTCTCCCTCAATATGAGCAAGACAAAGGAGCTGATCGTGGACTACAGGAAAAGGCGGGTCAAACAGACCTCCATTAACATCAACGGGTCTGTAGTGCAGCGGGTTTCAAGTTCCTTGGTGTCCACATCACCAACGAACTATTATGGTCCCAACACACCAAGACAGTCGTGAAGAGGGCACGACAACACCTTTTCCCTCTCAGGAGACTGAAAAGATTTGGGTCCCCAGATCCTCAAAAAGTTATACAGCTGCACCATCGAGAGCATCCTGACTGGTTGCATCACCGCCTGATATGGCAACTGCTCGCCATCTGACCGTAAGGCGCTACATGGGGTAGTGCATATGGCCCAATACATCACTGGGGCCAAGCTTCCTGCCATCCAGGACCTCTATACCAGGCGGTGTCAGAGGAAGGCCTAAAAATGGTCAAAGACTCCAGTCACCCAAGCCATTAGACTGCTGAACAATTAATCAAATGGCCACCTGGACTATTTACATTGACAACCCCCCCTTTGTTTTTACACTGCTGCTATTCGCTGTTTATTATCTATGCATAGTCACTTTACCCCTACCTACATGTACAAATTACCTCGACTAACCTGTACCCCCGCACATTGACTCTGTACCGGTATCCCCTGTATATAGCCTCGGTACCGGTACCCCCTGTATATAGCCTCGGTACCGGTATCCCCTGTATATAGCCTCGGTACCGGTATCCCCTGTATATAGCCTCGGTACCGGTATCCCCTGTATATAGCCTCGGTACCGGTATCCCCTGTATATAGCCTCGGTACCGGTATCCCCTGTATATAGCCTCGGTACCGGTATCCCCTGTATATAGCCTCGGTACCGGTATCCCCTGTATATAGCCTCGGTACCGGTATCCCCTGTATATAGCCTCGGTACCGGTATCCCCTGTATATAGCCTCATTATTGTTATTTTATTGTGTTATTTTTTTTTTTTCTTCTTTTATTTATATATTTTTTTTTTTATCAGTACATATTTTCTTAACTCTATTTCTTGAACTGCATTGTTGGTTAAGGGCTTGTAAGTAAGCATTTCACTGTAAGGTCTACACATAAAATTTGATTTGATTTGAAAAGAAGATTGAAAAGTAATTTGGCTTTTTGTCCAGTAACTAGCAGCAAGCAGATTTGTTATTTCTTTGTACTACCTTGGAAGCTGTTCTCTTCGATCCCTTTGAGGTGGTTCTCGTTGATCTTCAGCTCCTGTAGTGTGGATGGGAGATCCATTGGGACCGTCTCTAGGAGGTTGTTGTCCAGGTACAGACGGCTCAGGAACTTCAGGCCCTGACCAACAAACATGAACAACATTAACAACGCTTGTGTGTGTTCGTGCGTGCGTGTGTGTGCGTGCATGCATCTAGGTGTGCTTGACCCGTAGCAGTGGGGTGGGTGGGGTTTGGATATAAAACTGTCGATGTTGGCACTCTGTCATGATAGGGAGTTTCTTGTTAACAAAATCAGGCTTTATTGTTATTCTAGAAACTTCCTGACTGTCTCTAGATCCTCACCTTAGGGGATCTAGCTGGTTGGAAATAGAAAATAAAAACGTAGTGTATCCCTAAACGGCATTGGCACTTGGACTGGAACAGAGCCAACAACCTGGTTGGATTGGAACAGAGCCAACAACCTGGTTGGATTGGAACAGAGCCAAAGACCTGGTTGGGTTGGAACAGAGCCAACAACCTGGTTGGATTGGAACAGAGCCAAAAACCTGGTTGGATTGGAACAGAGCCAAAAACCTGGTTGGATTGGAACAGAGCCAACAACCTGGTTGGATTGGAACAGAGCCAACAACCTGGTTGGATTGGAACAGAGCCAAAAACCTGGTTGGATTGGAACAGAGCCAACAACCTGGTTGCCTCTGCCACAAGTGGATCTTCCATTTCAGCAAGATAATAACCCCAATCCACAAGAAATTGATAATTGACCACAAAATCAACATTTTGCAATGGCCATTTCAGTCTCCGGACTTGAACCCCAAAACCTGGTTGAATTGGAACAGAGCGCAAACGGAGTGGATTGGACAGAGCCAACAACCTGGGTTTGGGGGAGGGTCAAGACCAAAGGATGGAGGGAAGCTGGGGCTTAAAACTGTGATGACAGACCAAAGACCCTTTTGTTGGTTGTAACTGAGAACAAACTGTTGGATTAAAAACAGCCTAAAAACTTTTAATGAACAGACCAATACAATGGTTACTGTAAAGTGCAAAACTTTGAGATTTTTGGCACATGAGCCAAAAAACGTGATGGAAAGTGCCAACAATCTTTTTGATGTACTATCCACAAGTGAATTTTTCCTTATCAGTAAGATATCAACCCAATCAGCAAAAATGTGTTACATGCCCAAATAATTTTGCATGGCTTTGTCGATAAACCATTGAAATTATGTTTTAATTAGTATTATAACTTCCATAACAGCGTAAGGACAGGATTGGAAAAGTTTCTTTACGAAGTGCGACCGAAGATAGGAGGGCAAAGGATGTTGTTAACAAGTCCCATATATGTTGCATGGCTGTGTGCAATTAATAGTATTAATATTATTATATTTTAATTATTTATTACTTAACATTATTTAACCAGGTAAGCCAGTTGAGAACAAGTTCTCATTTACAACGCGACCTGCAAGATAAAAGCAAAGCAGTTGCCGATAAAACAACACCACACAGAGTTACATATGGGGGTAAATAAAACATAAAGTCAAAACAATACAACAGAAAAATAATTACAGTGTGTGCAAAATGTCAGTACGTTATGGAGAGGGTAAGGCAATAAATAGGCTATAGTGCAAAATAATTACAATTAGTATTAACACTGGAATGATAGATGTGCAAGAGATTATGTGCAGGAGATATTGGGGGTGCAAAGAGCAAATAAATAACAATGGGGATGAGGTAGTTGGGTGTGGCTAATTACAGATGGGCTGTGTACAGGTGCAGTGATCGGTAAGGTGCTCTGACAACTGATGCTTAAAGTTAGTGAGGGAGATAAGAGTCTCCAGCTTCAGAGATTTTTGCAGTTCGTTCCAGTCATTGGCAGCAGAGAACTGGAAGGAATTGCGGCCAAAGGAGGTGTTGGCTTTGGGAATGACCAGTGAGATATACCTGCTGGAGCGCATACTACGGGTGGGTGTTGCTATGGTGACCAATGAGCTAAGATAAGGCAGGGATTTGCCTAGCAGTGATTTATAGATGGCCTGGAGCCAGTGGGTTTGGCAACGAATATGCAGTGAGGAGCAGCCAACAAGAGCGTACAGGTCACAGTGGTGGGTATTATATGGGGCTTTGGTGACAAAACGGATGGCACTGTGATAGACTACATCCAATTTACTGAGTAGAGTGTTGGAGGCTATTTTGTAAATGACATCGCCGAAGTCAAGGATCGGTAGGATAGTCAGTTTTACGAGGGCATGTTTGGCAGCATGAGTGAAGGAGGCTTTGTTGCGAAATAGGAAGCAGATTCTAGATTTAACTTTGGATTGGAGATGCTTAATGTGAGTCTGGAAGGAGAGTTTACAGTCTAACCAGACACCTAGGTATTTGTAGTTGTCCACATATTCTAGGTCAGACCCGTCGAGAGTAGTGATTCTAGTCGGGTGGGCGGGTGCCAGAAGCTTTCGATTGAAGAGCATGCATTTAGTTTTACTAGTGTTTAAGAGCAGTTGTAGGCTACGGAAGAAGTGTTGTATGGCATTGAAGCTCGTTTGGAGGTTTGTTAACACAGTGTCCAATGAAGGGCCAGATGTATACAAAATGGTGTCATCTGCATATGAATGACTACCTCATCTCTGTACCCCACACATACAATTACCTGTAAGGTCCCTCAGTCGAGCAGTGTATTTCAAACACAGATTCAACCACAAAGACCAGAAGGTTTTCAAATGCCTTGCAAAGAAGGGCACCGATTGGTAGATGGGTAAAAATACAAAAAGCAGACATTGAATATCCCTTTGAGCATGGTGAAGTTATTCATTACACTTTGGATGGCGTATCAATACACCCAGTCACTACAAAGATACAGGCCTCCTTCCTAACTCATTTGCCAGAGAGGAAGGAAACCGCTCAGGGATTTCATCATGAAAATCAGTATTGAATGTACAGTATTTGTGTGTGTGTGTGTGTGTGTGTGTGTGTGTGTGTGTGTGTGTGTGTGTGTGTGTGTGTCTGGGTGGCTGGAGTCTAACGATTTTCCGGGCCTTAATTTCACACCGCCTGATATAGGGGTCCTGGATGGCAGGGAGCTCGGCCCCAGTGATGTAGTGGGCTGTCCACACCACCCTCTGTAGCGCCATGCGATGGAGGGCGGTGCTATCACCATACCTAGCAGTGATGCAGCCGGTGCGACTCTTACTTTGAAAGCGTGCAGGCTGATGCCAGCAGAGAAAGACTCTTATTATGAAGGTGAGACTCTTACTTTAAAGGCGTGCGGAGCTTGTTGTGAAGCACTCTTATTTTGAAGGAGAGACTCTTACTTTGAAGGTGTGTGGGGGCTCATTGTGAAAAATACTCATATTTTGAAGGAAAGACTCTTCCCTGAAGGCGTGCGGAAAGCAATTGTGATAAAGACTCTTATTTTGAAGGAAAGACTCTTACATTGAAGGTGTGTGGGGCGATTCCAGCAGTTGTCAGCTTATTCTTTCCCAGGTTGATGGACTCCAGGTTGGGGATGCCGTTGAACGCACCTACTGGGATGGTTGTGATGGAGTTACCTATGAAATATGAAATCACATCACATTATCATCCTCAATGCTTCTGGCTAGATCAGAGCTACCCCAACCTTTTTTTACTGGAGATCTACCTTCCTGTAGGTTCAGTCCAACCCCAATTTAACACTGATTCTACTAATTAGCTGCTCAACATTACCTTAAAGAGTGACTGCCCCTAAAAAACAACTAATCCTTTTGAAAACGGCCTATGTGGCATCGATAAGAGTCAGAAACATTTATTCTAGTGTCAAAATTGACTACACAGTGTAAATAGGATAATTTTGGTCATGAAGTCAGTCTCGTCTAAAACAGAGTTTGGAACCTCATTAGTAAATGAAGGTTGGGTTTGGATTACAATTACACTATATATACAGCAGGGAAACATAGCTGGCTTTATACACTATATATACAGTGAGGGAAAAAAGTATTTGATCCCCTGCTGATTTTGTACGTTTGCCCACTGACAAATAAATGATCAGTCTATAATTTTAATGGTAGGTTTATTTGAACAGTGAGAGACAGAATAACAACAAAAAAATCCAGAAAAACGCATGTCAAAAATGTTACAAATTGATTTGCATTTTAATGAGGGAAATAAGTATTTGACCCCCTCTCAATCAGAAAGATTTCTGAATCCCAGGTGTCTTTTATATAGGTAACGAGCTGAGATTAGGAGCACACTCTTAACGGGAGTGCTCCTAATCTCAGTTTGTTACCTGTATAAAAGACACCTGTCCACAGAAGCAATCAATCAATCAGATTCCAAACTCTCCACCATGACCAAAACCAAAGAGCTTTCCAAAGATGTCAGGGACAAGATTGTAGACCTACACAAGGCTGGAATGGGCTACAAGACCATCACCAAGCAGCTTGGTGAGAAGGTGACAACAGTTGGTGCGATTATTCGCAAATGGAAGAAACACAAAATAACTGTCAATCTCCCTCGGACTGGGGCTCTATGCAAGATCTCACCTCGTGGAGTTGCAATGATCATGAGAACGGCAAGGAATCAGCCCAGAACTACACGGGAGGATCTTGTCAATGATCTCAAGGCAGCTGGGACCATAGTCACCAAGAAAATAATTGGTAACACACTACGTCGTGAAGGATTGAAATCCTGCAGCGCCCATAAGGTCCCCCTGCTCAAGAAAGCACATATACATGCCCATCTGAAGTTTGCCAATGAACATCTGAATGATTCAGAGGAGAACTGGGTGAAAGTGTTGTGGTCAGATGAGACCAAAATGGAGCTCTTTGGCATCAACTCAACTCGCCATGTTTGGAGGAGGAGGAATGCTGCCTATGACCCCAAGAACACCATCCCCACCGTCAAACATGGAGGTGGAAACATTATGCTTTGGGGGTGTTTTTCTGCTAAGGGGACAGGACAACTTCACCGCATCAAAGGGACGATGGACGGGGCCATGTACCAGGGCATTGAAAATGGGTCTTGGATGGGTATTCCAGCATGACAATGACCCAAAACACACGGCCAAGGCAACAAAGGAGTGGCTCAAGAAGAAGCACATTAAGGTCCTGGAGTGGCCTAGCCAGTCTCCAGACCTTAATCCCATAGAAAATCTGTGGAGGGAGCTGAAGGTTTGAGTTGCCAAACGTCAGCCTCGAAACCTTAATGACTTGGAGAAGATCTGCAAAGAGGAGTGGGACAAAATCCCTCCTGAGATGTGTGCAAACCTGGTGGCCAACTACAAGAAACGTCTGACCTCTGTGATTGCCAACAAGGGTTTTGCCACCAAGTACTAAGTCATGTTTTGCAGAGGGGTCAAATACTTATTTCCCTCATTAAAATGCAAATCAATTTATAACATTTTTTACATGCGTTTTTCTGGATTTTTTTGTTGTTATTCTGTCTCTCACTGTTCAAATAAACCTACCATTAAAATTATAGACTGATCATAACTTTGTCAGTGGGCAAACGTACAAAATCAGCAAGGGATCAAATACTTTTTCCCCTCACTGTACAGCAGTATGTGGATAATTAATTAAAATTAGTGGATTTGGCGATTTTAGCCACACCCGTTGCCGACAGATGTATAAAATTGAGCATACAGCCATGCAATCTCCATAGACAAACAACAAGTCAGTTCGTCAAATTTCTGCCCTGCTAGAGCCACCCCCGGTCAACTGTAAATGCTGTTATTGTGAAGTGGAAACGTCTAGGAGCAACAACGGCTCAGCCGTGAAGTGGTAGGCCACACAAGCTCACAGAACGGGATGGTGAGTGCTGAAGCACGTAGCGCGTAGAAATCGTCTCTCCTTCTGGTTGCAACACTTACTACCGAGTTCCAAACTGCCTCTGGAAGCAACGTCAGCACAAGAACAGTTTGTCGGGAGCTTCATGAAATGGGTTTCCATGGCCGAGCAGCCGCACACAAGCCTAAGATCACCCACGCGCAATGCCAAGCGTCGGCTGGAGTGGTGTAAAGCTCGCCGCCATTGGACTCTGGCATAGTGCCAACTGTAAAGTTTGGTGGAGGAGGATTAATGTAACAGCCAGCCTGCATCCCAAATGGCCCCTTATTCCCTACATAGAGCCCTATGGGCCCTTCTCAAAAGTAGTGCACAATGTAGGGAAGAGGAATGGTGCATTAGCATGTCACGTTTCACCATCTGGCAGTCCGGCGGACGGATCTGGGTTTGGCGGATGCCAGGAGAACGCTACCTGCCCCAATGCATAGTGCCAACTGTAAAGTTTGGTGGAGGAGGAATAATGATCTGGGGCTGTTTTTCATGGTTCGGGCTAGGCCCCTTAGTTCAAGTGAAGGGAAATCTTAACGCTACAGCATACAATGACATTCTAGACGGTTCTGTGCTTCCAACTTTGTGGCAACAGTTTGGTGAAGGCCCTTTCCTGTTTCAGCATGACAATGCCCCCGTGCACAAAGCGAGGTCCATACATAAATTGTTTCTCGAGATCGGTGTGGAAGAACTTGTCTGGCCTGCACAGAGCCCTGACCTCAACCCCATCGAACACCTTTGGGATGAATTGGAACGCCGACTGCGAGCCAGGCCTAATCGCCCAACATCAGTGCCCGACCTCACTAATGCTGTTGTGGCTGAATGGAAGCAAGTCCCCGCAGCAATGTTCCAACATCTAGTGGAAAGCCTTCCCAGAAGAGTGGAGGCTGTTATAGCAGCAAAGGGGGGACCAACTCCATATTAATGCCTATGATTTTGGAATGAGATGTTCGACAAGCAGGTGTCCACATAATTTGGTCATGTAGTGTATGTTTAGCTGAGGTCTTCTCTGTATAAAATGACACGGAATGGCAAAAAAGCATCTAACGACGCACTTAGCGGTTCTACGAGTAGTCTGAGGCAGTAGGTAAATAACAAGTGTTTTCAAGTGCAACTTTAGTAACGATGGTTTTTTGGAAACAACTCAGCTTTAAAACGGCAACATTTTCTCTCAGCTTCTTAGTGAAACGTGTAGAATTACAGGAAGTTAAATGGGGCCTTGCAAAACTGCGGTACGCCACTACATGTGTTTAGAATAACTCTGTTGTACTCTGCGTGACTACGTGTCCGGCAAGTCAAGACATGGTCCAAAGGCTCAACTCTCATAGCGTGCCTCTATTGCCTAATTATGCAAAGCCTCCATAATTGCAGTATAAGCCAACAAGCATGGGAAGCTGAGAAGTCTATCCTCAGGTTTCTTTCTCCTGTTAACTTCAGTCTACGTGGCCATATTAGGTATCACCAAAACAAATCATAACAAACAAACTACTCCCTTGTCGTTAAAGGGATTGTTTTAGTTGTTGTGTTTAGATTGTAATTCCTATCTGGCCACGCACGCACAGACCTGTAATCATATTACTGTATGGTCTATGGCTGTAACACACGGGATCCAGACTAGTGATGGATAACACGCACGCACAGACCTGTAATCATATTACTGTATGGTCTATGGCTGTAACACACGGGATCCAGACTAGTGATGGATAACACGCACGCACAGACCTGTAATCATATTACTGTATGGTCTATGGCTGTAACACACGGGATCCAGACTAGTGATGGATAACACGCACGCACAGACCTGTAATCATATTACTGTATGGTCTATGGCTGTAACACACGGGATCCAGACTAGTGATGGATAACACGCACGCACAGACCTGTAATCATATTACTGTATGGTCTATGGCTGTAACACACGGGATCCAGACTAGTGATGGATAACACGCACGCACAGACCTGTAATCATATTACTGTATGGTCTATGGCTGTAACACACGGGATCCAGACTAGTGATGGATAACACGCACGCACAGACCTGTAATCATATTACTGTATGGTCTATGGCTGTAACACACGGGATCCAGACTAGTGATGGATAACACGCACGCACAGACCTGTAATCATATTACTGTATGGTCTATGGCTGTAACACACGGGATCCAGACTAGTGATGGATAACACGCACGCACAGACCTGTAATCATATTACTGTATGGTCTATGGCTGTAACACACGGGATCCAGACTAGTGATGGATAACACGCACGCACAGACCTGTAATCATATTACTGTATGGTCTATGGCTGTAACACACGGGATCCAGACTAGTGATGGATAACACGCACGCACAGACCTGTAATCATATTACTGTATGGTCTATGGCTGTAACACACGGGATCCAGACTAGTGATGGATAACACGCACGCACAGACCTGTAATCATATTACTGTATGGTCTATGGCTGTAACACACGGGATCCAGACTAGTGATGGATAACACGCACGCACAGACCTGTAATCATATTACTGTATGGTCTATGGCTGTAACACACGGGATCCAGACTAGTGATGGATAACACGCACGCACAGACCTGTAATCATATTACTGTATGGTCTATGGCTGTAACACACGGGATCCAGACTAGTGATGGATAACACGCACGCACAGACCTGTAATCATATTACTGTATGGTCTATGGCTGTAACACACGGGATCCAGACTCAGGGACTCAGGGATGGATAACACGCACGCACGCGCGCACGCACGTGCACACACAGACACGCACACGCAGACACAGACACAGACACAGACACAGACACAGACACAGACACACACACACACACACACACACACACTTACCCTCCAGACTTAGGGACTTGAGTTCAGGGATGTTCAGAGGAGGGAAGTTGGTCAGTTTAGCGTTCTCACACGTCACAGTGACATCAGAGATATCACAACCTAGTGGGAGGGCGATCCCAGGTCTGCGTACCACCACTCCCTCCTGTTCTCTGTCAGTGGGCTCAGCTAGGGGAGGAGGAAGGAGGTCCTCTCCGGTCGGCTCATCTGGAAACATTTGGAAAACATCTCCTCTCAGCAGCCATTCCATCTCCTCCTCCTCCTCCTCCTCCTCCTTCTCCTCTTCCTCTTCCTCTTCCAGCTCCGCTAGTTCCCTCAGTTTCTCCTTCAGCTCCTCCTCATGTCTTCTCCTCTCCTCCTCCAGCTTCCTCTCCTTCTCCTTCATGGCCTCCTCCTCCTTCAGTCTCCTTGCGTCCTCCTGTCTCCGCTCTTCCTTTTCCATCCGCCTCCTCTCCTTCTCGCGCCTCCTCTCCTCCTTCTGCCTCCTCTCCTCCTGCCTCCTCTGTCTCTCCTTCTGCCTCCTCTCCTTCTCCTCCTCCTCCTCTCTATTCAGGAGGAGCTCAATCTCGGCCTGCGTGTGGGGCACCACAGGGTCAAGGATGGGGTCAAGGTCAGGGGTCACAGGGTCAGGGTCGTTGGCTACTGGGGAATCGCCAGAGAAGTCAGGGACGTCGCCACGGGAAGCTGGCCCAGCCAATCAGAACCACAGAGTGTTAGAGAGGAGGATGGAGAGAGGGAGGGAGAAGAGGGAAGCATAAATTACCCAGAGAGTGTCACGTTATGTCTCCACCAATGAAAATGTTCTAAAGGTATTAACTGGTATTTCAGATGAGTTCTTCGTAAGATCTGTGCCAATTATTTCCAATGCTTATGATAGGACAAGACAAGGTCAGTGGAGATAGAACCACCATAGTTAAAGGCCCAGCGCAGTCAAAAACCAGATTTTCCTGTGTTTTTATTAGTCGTATGTACGGGATACGCATGGTATACATCATCCAATGAAACGCTTACTTGCAGGTTCCTTCTGGACAATGCAACAACAATAAGACATAGTAAACGAAGAACATAAAGGAAATGGCAAGTGGAGGGGGGGGGGGGGGGGCAGTGTATAAACTGAGCAGTATAATACGAGTCTGGTAGCAGCAGCAGTGTGTGTGTGTGTGTGTGTGTGTGTGTGTGTGTGTGTGTGTGTGTGTGTGTGTGTGTGTGTGTGTGTGTGTGTGTGTGTGTGTGTGTGTGTGTGTGTGTGTGCTAAGGTGCAGAGAATCAGAGCAGGTGGTCAGTCCAGTTCAAGTGTTCAGCAGTCTGATGGCTGCTGAAAACAGTCTGAATAATACTGTGAAATTGTGAAAATTATGATAAAGCCCTTTTAGTGTAAGAGCTGTTTGAAAAGTCAGCCTGTTTTGGTGGGATGGAGTTTTGTTCTGCCTGGTGTTTTGGCCTGCCTGGTGTTTTGACCTGCCTGGTGTTTTGGCCTGCCTGGTGTTTTGTTCTGCCTGGTCTTTTGGCCTGCCTGGTGTTTTGACCTGCCTGGTGTTTTGGCCTGCCTGGTGTTTTGACCTGCCTGGTCTTTTGGCCTGCCTGGTGTTTTGACCTGCCTGGTGTTTTGACCTGCCTGGTCTTTTGGCCTGCCTGGTGTTTTGACCTGCCTGGTGTTTTGACCTGCCTGGTCTTTTGGCCTGCCTGGTGTTTTGACCTGCCTGGTGTTTTGACCTGCCTGGTGTTTTGGCCTGCCTGGTGTTTTGGCCTGCCCGGTGACATCACCAGGTGGTAAATTAGTTAATAGACCAATAAGAAACAGAGTTCCAATCCTCTCTGCCAATAACAGCTAGTGTTCAGTTTTCCCCTCCCCACTCAGACAACTCACAGAAAGTCCTAGCAAAATAGTTTTTTAAAGAAATTGCTCTTTGCGAGTAAGCATTTATTTATTTATTTTGACCATTTTAATTGAAAACAATCACGATAAGGTACTTATTTGTTACCCAGAAATGATTGGATATTGAGATAAAAATAAAACTCAGTTGGACCTTTAAACTAAGTTAAGCTAGATAGTGATACAACGACATCATTAAGACAACAACACCTACCTGTGTCCATGCAGACAGGGCAGCACTCCCCAGTGGTGGTGTAGGGGAAGTGACATCGTAGAGGAGGACATGTGACCTCGTCACACAGCACCTCCCCTCCACTACACAGACAGGTGACACACGGCTTGGGGGACCAGACGGCCTGCTCAAACATGGTGATGCCCTGGTACACACACTGGCCCTGTTTACCTGGGGAGAGACGGGGAGAGGTTGTTAGGAGATGCTAGGTGACACAAGGTGCTTGGGGGACCAGACAGCCTGCTCAAACCATAGATATGTATAGAGATCTCCACTTGGAAATACACTTTTTTTTTTGCATGAACATTGCCATCAAATATATTAATAGCTAACCCAAGATAATTCATCTGTGTCGTTTCCAATGGAAGCAAATTAAGAATAGGTTGATGCCTGGAGGGAGAGACGGGGCAGAGGACTTGATACCTGGAGGGAGAGACGGGGCAGAGGACTTGATACCTGGAGAGAGAGACGGGGCAGAGGGGTTGATAGCTGGAGGGAGAGACGGGGCAGATGACTTGATACCTGGAGAGAGAGACGGGGCAGAGGACTTGATACCTGGAGGGAGAGACGGGGCAGAGGGGTTGATAGCTGGAGGGAGAGACGGGGCAGAGGGGTTGATAGCTGGAGGGAGAGACGGGGCAGAGGGGTTGATAGCTGGAGGGAGAGACGGGGCAGAGGGGTTGATAGCTGGAGGGAGAGACGGGGCAGAGGACTTGATACCTGGAGGGAGAGACGGGGCAGAGGGGTTGATAGCTGGAGGGAGAGACGGGGCAGGGGGGTTGATAGCTGGAGGGAGAGACGGGGCAGAGGACTTGATAGCTGGAGGGAGAGACGGGGCAGAGGGGTTGATAGCTGGAGGGAGAGACGGGGCAGAGGACTTGATACCTGGAGGGAGAGACGGGGCAGAGGGGTTGATACTGTATCATAGAGACAAACACATACATTCGCTCTATTATCATATTTCAGAGATAACAAATTATTAGAGCCCTGAGTTTTTCCTCACTAGGTTGTCTGATTGGGAAAACTCTGCACCTTATATAGTATTTTCAGCTGGTTGAAGCTGGTGGACAAAACCCAAAGGTAAAGATGCACAAACGTAACTTAAGAACGGGAAGCATAGAAATAGTGCACTTGCTTTCAATGAGAATGACAGATCTATAACTCACATTTCTATGTGAATTTGTCCAGGTCACCCAAACAGTTACATATTGCAGCTTTAACCCTTACCCTAACCTTAACACTGACTTTAAAGCTTCAATATGTCATTTTTTGGGCGACCTGACCAAATTCACATAGAAATGTGAGTTATACTGTAGATATGTAATTCTCCTTGAAAGCAAGTCTAAGAAGCAGTAGATCTGTTCTATGTGCGCTATTTCAATGCTTCCAGTTCTTAAGTTTAGTTTGTGCATCTTTTACGCTCGGTTTTGTCCACCAGCTTCAAACGGCTGAAAATACAATATTTTTGGTTATGTTAAAGATATTTCACAGCTGTTTAGACGGTACAATGATTCTCTACATTGAGTGCTTGTTTTGTCACATTAACTAAAATTAGGTGAACTTTATTAGAATTTTAGCAATTTCTGCATTAACAAATTTTACAATTTCAACTTCAATGTCTTAGGGATGTCCCAAGGATGCCAGATATCATGGACCCTAGCTGCAGCCTGGTCAGTAATCAGGAAAAACGGATTGACTTGATGTTATGTGTGCTAGACTATTATTACTCTAGTCATTTGATTATGTTCCTATGTTAAGCTATAAAACTGAGAATTTATGTAAATGAAATGCACTACCGTCTCAGGACTCCAGGTACGACCTTGTCCCCAGGCTAACTGTTCACGTCACCCCGCTCCTCCGCACACTCCACTGGCTTCCAGTTGAAGCTCGCATCTGCTACAAGACCATGGTGCTTGCCTACGGAGCTGTGAGGGGAACGGCACCTCCGTACCTTCAGGCTCTGATCAGTCCCTACACCCAAACGAGGGCATTGCGTTCATCCACCTCTGGCCTGCTGGCTCCCCTTCCTCTGCGGAAGCATAGTTCCCGCTCAGCCCAGTCAAAACTGTTCGCTGCTCTGGCACCCCAATGGTGGAACAAGCTCCCCCACGACGCCAGGACAGCGGAGTCACTCACCACCTTCCGGAGACATTTGAAACCCCACCTCTTTAAGGAATACCTGGGATAGGATAAAGTAATCCTTCTACCCCCCCCCTTACCCCAACCCCCCCCCCCCCCCCCCCCAAAAAAAAAAAAAAAACATTGTAAAGTGGTTATCCCACCATAAGGTGAATGCACCAATTTGTAAGTCGCTCTGGATAAGAGCGTCTGCTAAATGACGTAAATGTAAATGTAAATGTACCAGCTTGGGGAGGAAGTGTTTGGTGAGTGAGACTCCTCCAGGTGACCGTGTCCAGACGTTTATACTTACTGGGAGAAACTGACAGATTATATTGTATGTATTATAAAAGCCACCTTGTCCTAGAGAGATTTACACGGTTATCAAAACGTCACGCCAGGGTAAGACAAATCCTCAGCAATCTACACACAATACCCCATAATGACAAAGCAAAAAACAGGTTTTTAGAAATGTTTTTAAATATATTAAAAACCAAAAAACAGAAATACCTTATTTACATAAGTATTCAGACCCTTTGCTGTGAGACTCGAAATTGAGCTTAGGTGCATGCTGTTTCCATTGATCAACCTTGAAATGTTTCTACAACTTGATTGGAGTCCACCTGTGGGAAATTCAATTGATTGGACATGATTTGGAAAGGCACACACCTGTCTATATAAGGTCCCACAGTTGACAGTGCATGTCAGATCAAAAACCAAGCCATGAGGTCTAAGGAATTGTCCATAGAGCCCCAAGACAGGATTGTGTCGAGGCACAGATCTGGGGAAGGGCACCAAAAAATGTCTGCAGCACTGAAGGTCCCCAAGAACACAGTGGCCTCCATCATTCTTAAATGGAATAAGTTCGGAATCACAAAGACTCTTCCTAGAGCTGGCCGCCTGGACAAACTGAGCAATTGGGGGTGAAGGACCTTGGTCAGGGAAGTGACCAAGAACCCGATTGTTACTCTGACAGAGCTCCTGAGTTCCTCTGTGGAGATGGGAGAACCTTCCAGAAGGACACACATCTCTGCAGCACTCCACCAATCAGGCCTTTATGGTAGAGTGGCCAGACGGAAGCCACTCCTCAGTAAAAGGCACATGACAGCCCGCTTGGAGTTTGCCAAAAGGCACCTAAAGGGCTCTCAGACAATGAGAAACAAGATTCTCTGGTCTGATGAACCCAAGATTGAACTCTTTGGCCTGAATGCCAAGTATCACATCTGGAGGAAACCTGGCACCATCCCTACGGTGAAGCATGGTGGTGGCAGTATCATGCTGTGGGGATGTTTGTCAGTGGCAGGGACTGGGAGACTAGTCAGGATCAAGGCAAAGATGAACGGAGCAAAGTACAGAGAGATCCTTGATCAAAACCTGCTCCAGTGCGCTCAGGACCTCAGACTGGGGCGAAGGGTCAACCTTCCAGCAGGACAACAACCCTAAACACACAGCCAATACAACTCAGGAGTGGCTTCGGAACAAGTCTCTGAATGTCCTTGAGTGGCCCAGCCAGAGCCCGGACTTGAACCCGATCGAACATCTCTGAAGAGACCTGATTATGGCTGTACAGCAACGCTCCCCATCCAACCTGACAGAAATTGAGAGGATCTGCAGAGAAGAATGGGAGAAACTCCCCAAATACAGGTGTGCCAAGCCTGTAGCATCATACCCAAGAAGACTCAAGGCTATAATCGCTGCCTAAGGTGCCTCAACAAAGTGCTGAGTAAAGAGTCTGAATACTTACACTACCAGTCAAAGGTTTGGACACACCTACTCATTCAAGGGTCTTTCTTTATTTTTACTATTTTCTACATTGTAGAATAATAGTGAAGACATCAAAACTATGAAATAACAAATATGGAATCATGTAGTAACCAAAAAGGTGTTAAACAAATCTAAATATATTTTATATTTGAGATTCTTCAAATAGCCACCCTTTGCCTTGATGACAGCTTTGCACACTCTTGGCATTCTCTCAACCAGCTTCATGAGGTAGTCACCTGGAATGCATTTCAATTAACAGGGTTGCCTTGTTAATTTGTGGAATTTATTTCCTTCTTTCCTCGTTTGAGCCAATCAGTTGTGTTGTGGCAAGGTAGGGGGGGTATACAGAAGATAGCCCTATTTGGTAAAAGACCAAGTCCATATTATGGCAAGAACAGCTCAAAGAACCAAAGAGAAACGACAGTCCATCATTACTTTAAGACATGAAGGTCAGTCAATACGGAACATTTCAAGAACTTCGAAAGTTTCTTCAAGTGCAGTCGCAAAAACCATCAAGCGCTATGATGAAACTGGCTCTCATGAGGACTGCCACAGGAATGGAAGACCCAGAGTTACCTCTGCTGCAGAGGATAAGTTCATTAGAGTTAACTGCACCTCAGATTGCAGCCCAAATAAATGCTTCACAGAGTTCAAGTAACAGACACATCTCAACATCAACTGTTCAGAGGAGACTACGTGAATCAGGCCTTCATGGTCTAATTGCTGCAAAGAAACCACTACTAAAGGACACCAATAAGAAGAAGAGACCTGCTTGGGACAAGAAACACGAGCAATGGACATTAGACCGGTGGAAATCTGTCCTTTGGTCTGCAGTCCAAATTTGAGATTTTTGGTTCCAACCGCTGTGTCTTTGTGAGACGCGGTGTGGGTGAACGGATGATCTCCGCATGTGTGGTTCCCACCATGAAGCATAGAGGAGGAGGTGTTATGGTGTGGGGGTGCTTTGCTGGTGACACTGTCTGTGATTTATTTTGAATTCAAGGCACACTTAACCAGCATGGCTACCACAGCATTCTGCAGCGATACGCCATCCCATCTGGTTTGGGCTTAGTGGGACTATCATTTGTTTTTCAACAGGACAATGACCCAAAACACACCTCCAGGCTGTGTAAGGGCTATTTGACCAAGGAGAGTGATGGAGTGCTGCATCAGATGACCTGGCCTCCACAATCACCCAACCTCAACCCAATTGAGATGGTTTGGGATGAGTTGGACCGCAGAGTGAAGGAAAAGCAGCCAACAAGTGCTCAGCATATGTGGGAATTCCTTCAAGATGGTTAGAAAAGCATTCCAGGTGAAGCTGGTTGAGAGAATGCCAAGAGTGTGCAAAGCTGTCATCAAGGCAAAGGGCGGTTATTTGAAGAATCTGAAATATAAAATATATTTTGATTTGTTTAACACTTTTTTGGTTACTACATGATTCCACATGTGTTATTTCATAGTTTTGATGTCTTCACTATTATTCTACAATGTAGAAAATAGCAAAAATAAAGAAAGACCCTTGAATGAGTAGGTGTGTCCAAACCTTTGACTGGCACTGTATGTAAATGTAGTATTTCAGTTTTTTCCAAAAACCTGTTTCTGCTTTGTTATTATGGGGTATTGTTGTTGAGGGGAGAAAACAATTTAATCAATGTTAGAAGGCTGTAACCTAACAAAATGTGGAAAAAGTTAAGGTGTCTGAATACTTTCCGACGGCACTGTAATTCTAAGTAATTCACACCCTGTATGCGCAATTTATAGACTACAATGATTTAATACAATGAAATGTTGTTTAAATGCTGAGCACTTAAATGTTTATTAATGTTTCTGCCAGCCTATCGCTCCCACAAATGCTTCACAATTTATTTATTTGTAGGCTATAGCTTTGAAATAATAGGCTAATAATATAGCCTAAATATTTCATTTTCGTTCTTGCTTAAAATAGCCTAAATAATTCATTTTAATTCCATCTCCTGACCTACTTAATGTTTATATGTTGTTTAATATGACCTATAACCTATTTGAAATGATGATCGCTTCTTACAGTCACCTTTTCATGTTTATTAAAATACTTTTCATTCAAATCATATGGTTTGGTTTCAATACTTCAAAACCAAATAGTAGGTCCATGTAGTCACAAAAATACAGTTGAAGTCGGAAGTTTACATACATCTTAGCCCAATACATTTAAACTCAGTTTTTCACAATTCCTGACATTTAATCCTAGTAAAAAAAACCTGTTTTAGGTCAGTTAGGATCACCACTTTATTTTAAGAATGTGAAATGTCAGAATAATAGCAGAGAGAATGATTTATTTCAGCTTTTATTTCTTTCATCACATTCCCAGTGGGTCAGAAGTTTACATACACTCAATTAGTATTTGGTAGCATTGCCTTTAAATTGTTTAACTTGGGTCAAACGTTTCGGGTAGCCTTCCACAAGCTTCCCACAATAAGTTTGGTGAATTTTGGCCCATTCCTCCTGACAGAGCTGGTGTAACTGAGTCAGGTTTGTAGGCCTCCTTGCTCGCACACGCTTTTTCAGTTATGCCCACACATTTTCTATAGGATTGAGGTCAGGGCTTTGTGATGGCCACTCCAATACCTTGATTTTGTTGTCCTTAAGCAATTTTGCCACAACTTTGGAAGTATGCTTGGAGTCATTTTCCATTTGGAAGACCCATTTGCGACCAAGCTTCAACTTCCTGACTGATGTCTTGAGATGTTGCTTCAATATATCCACATAATTTTCCTTCCTCATGATGCCATCTATTTTGTGAAGTACACCAATCCCTCCTGCAGCAAAGCACCCCCACAGCATGATGCTTCCACCCCGTGCTTCACGGTTGGGATGGTGTTCTTCGGCTTGCAAGCCTTCCCCTTTTTCCTCCAAACATAACAATGGTCATTATGACCAAACAGTTCTGTTTTTGTTTCATCAGACCAGAGGACATTTCTCCAAAAAGTAAGATCTTTGTCCCCATGTGCAGTTGCAAACCGTAGTCTGGCTTTTTTAAAGGCGGTTTTGGAGCAGTGGCTTCTTCCTTGCTGAGCGGCCTTTCAGGTTATGTCGATATAGGACTTGTTTTACTGTGGATATACAGTGGGGGAAAAAAGTATTTAGTCAGCCACCAATTGTGCAAGTTCTCCCACTTAAAAAGATGAGAGAGGCCTGTAATTTTCATCATAGGTACACGTCAACTATGACAGACAAATTGAGAATTATTTTTCCAGAAAATCACATTGTAGGATTTTTTATGAATTTATTTGCAAATTATGGTGGAAAATAAGTATTTGGTCACCTACAAACAAGCAAGATTTCTGGCTCTCACAGACCTGTAACTTCTTCTTTAAGAGGCTCCTCTGTCCTCCACTCGCTACCTGTATTAATGGCACCTGTTTGAACTTGTTATCAGTATAAAAGACACCTGTCCACAACCTCAAACAGTCACACTCCAAACTCCACTATGGCCAAGACCAAAGAGCTGTCAAAGGACACCAGAAACAAAATTGTAGACCTGCACCAGGCTGGGAAGACTGAATCTGCAATAGGTAAGCAGCTTGGTTTGAAGAAATCAACTGTGGGAACAATTATTAGGAAATGGAAGACATACAAGACCACTGATAATCTCCCTCAATCTGGGGCTCCATGCAAAATCTCACCCCGTGGGGTCAAAATGATCACAAGAACGGTGAGCAAAAATCCCAGAACCACACGGGGGGACCTAGTGAATGACCTGCAGAGAGCTGGGACCAAATTAACAAAGCCTACCATCAGTAACACACTATGCCGCCAGGGACTCAAATCCTGCAGTGCCAGACGTGTCCCCCTGCTTAAGCCAGTACATGTCCAGGCCTGTCTGAAGTTGCTAGAGTGCATTTGGATGATCCAGAAGAGGATTGGGAGAATGTCATATGGTCAGATGAAACCAAAATATAACTTTTTGGTAAAAACTCAACTCGTCGTGTTTGGAGGACAAAGAATGCATCCAAAGAACACCATACCTACTGTGAAGCATGGGGGTGGAAACATCATGCTTTGGGGCTGTTTTTCTGCAAAGGGACCAGGACGACTGATCCGTGTAAAGGAAAGAATGAATGGGGCCATGTATCGTGAGATTTTGAGTGAAAACCTCCTTCCATCAGCAAGGGCATTGAAGATGAAATGTGGCTGGGTCTTTCAGCATGACAATGATCCCAAACACACCGCCCGGGCAACGAAGGAGTGGCTTCGTAAGAAGCATTTCAAGGTCCTGGAGTGGCCTAGCCAGTCTCCAGATCTCAACCCCATAGAAAATCTTTGGAGGGAGTTGAAAGTCTGTGTTGCCCAGCTACAGCCCCAAAACATCACTGCTCTAGAGCATGGAGGAATGGGCCAAAATACCAGCAATAGTGTGTGAAAACCTTGTGAAGACTTACAGAAAACGTTTGACCTGTGTCATTGCCAACAAAGGGTATATAACAAAGTATTGAGAAACTTTTGTTATTGACCAAATACTTATTTTCCACCATAATTTGCAAATAAATTCATAAAAAATCAGACAATGTGATTTTCTGGGTTTTTTTTTCTCATTTTGTCTGTCATAGTTGACGTGTACCTATGATGAAAATTACAGGCCTCTCTCATCTTTTTAAGTGGGAGAACTTGAACAATTGGTGGCTGACTAAATATTTTTTTTCCCCACTGTAAATACTTTTGTACCTGTTTCCTCCAGCATCTTCACAAGGTCCTTTACTGTTGTTCTGGGATTGATTTGCACTTTTCGCACCAAAGTATGTTCATCTCTAGGAGACAGAACGCGTTTCCTTCCTGAGCGGTATGACGGCTGCGTGGTCCCATGGTGTTTATACTTGCGTACTATTGTTTGTACAGATGAACGCGGTACCTTCAGGCATTTGGAAATTGCTCCCAAGGATGAACCAGATTTGTGGAGGTCTGCAAAAAAAATTCTGAGGTCTTGGCTGATTTCTTTTGATTTTCCCATGATGTCAAGCAAAGAGCCACTGAGTTTGAAGGTAGGCCTTGAAATACATCCACAGGTACACCTCCAATTCACTCAAATGATGTCAATTAGCCTATCAGAAGCTTCTAAAGTCATGACATAATTTTCTGGAATTTTCCAAGCTGTTTAAAGGCACAGTAAACTCCGTGTATGTAAACTTCTGACTTCAACTGTAGGTGTTGGTTAAATGGTGATTTTAATGAATGGAGTGAATTTGGAGCAAGGACCGTTTTTTTGTGGAGCGGTTGGAAAGGACGTGGAGTGCCAACCGCTCAACTCCGCTCACATACACTGCTACGTTAGTAGTTGTGTAGACCACCATGTTGGTAGTTGAATGGACCACCATGCTGGTAGTTGAGTGGACCACCATGTTGGTAGTTGAGTGGACCACCATGTTGGTAGTTGAGTGGACCACCATGTTGGTAGTTGAGTGGACCACCATGTTGGTAGTTGAGTGGACCACCATGCTGGTAGTTGAGTGGACCACCATGTTGGTAGTTGAGTGGACCACCATGTTGGTAGTTGAGTGGACCACCATGTTGGTAGTTGAGTGGACCAACCATGTTGGTAGTTGAGTGGACCACCATGTTGGTAGTTGAGTGGACCACCATGTTGGTAGTTGAGTGGACCACCATGTTGGTAGTTGAGTGGACCACCATGTTGGTAGTTGAGTGGACCACCATGTTGGTAGTTGAGTGGACCACCATGCTGGTAGTTGAGGGGACCACCATGTTGGTAGTTGAGGGGACCACCATGCTGGTAGTTGAGTGGACCACCATGCTGGTAGTTGAGGGGACCACCATGCTGGGGTTACTTGTGTCTAAAGCAATCTTGAATAAAGCTAGACGTGTGATGTGATGATGACTAACTCTTTGAGAATTCATGTTTTTTCACACAATGGAAAAACCCTGGTCCGTGACCCACACACCCATCGTTGGTGGGGATTGTTGGTGATTTGCATATACAGTAATTTGATGATTTCCTGAGTTTGTCATCTACAGTATCTCCACCCCACACGCCTTCCTTCTACACAGTGTCTCAATCATACAGTCCATGGTCTCAATGTCCCTGTTCAACCCTTTTCTACAGACCATAATAACACTGTTACCAGGTCAACAGACCCAGCCTGTTCTCCACAATGAATGCTTACTTACAAGCCCTTAACCAACAATGCAGTTGTGCTTTTAAATGGTTTAAAGCTCAATGAGAACACATTTAGATGACAACTAAACCAAATATCTGACATTATTTTTCTATCGGAATTTGGCTGTGCTTCGATGGTTGAAAGCAGTGATAACACACTGGGAATTCAACAAACTTCTGGTTGACTTTTTTGAGTGGGTGAATAAAGGTTGAAATCTCATTGATCGACGTGAAATATTACCCACATTTCCACGTTGAAATGACGTGGTGTGCCCAGTGAGTTTTTTCCAAGTAGATTCCACGTCACATACATTGACAAATTACATTGAAACAACGAATGAAACAATGAATGTGCAGTTCTTTACTTTCAGATCATCTGAACATGTTAATGGATGCTAGCCTTTATATTGTAGGCCCTGATTCATACTAGCCAAGTCCCACATATGTTGGTGCCCTTGACACCTCCATTAATCTGTTGGTGCCCTTGACACCTCCCTTAATCTGTTGGTGCCCTTGACACCTCCATTAATCTGTTGGTGCCCTTGACACCTCCATTAATCTGTTGGTGCCCTTGACACCTCCATTAATCTGTTGGTGCCCTTGACACCTCCATTAATCTGTTGGTGCCCTTGACACCTCCATTAATCTGTTGGTGCTCTTGACACCTCCATTAATCTGTTGGTGCCCTTGACACCTCCATTAATCTGTTGGTGCCCTTGACACCTCCATTAATCTGTTGGTGCTCTTGACACCTCCATTGCTGTCAAGTCAAACATGACAATGAGTTACACAGGCAGACTGGCACTCCTGTTAGATTCATTCATACAGCACCCTGTAAACCACTGACTGAGGTCTACTAGTGTTAACTACAAGACCATTCCTTCAGTACATGACCTACTAATCTAATACAGTACACTGTTCCCTGTTGTTGAATACATCTGCTGCCTGTATCAGTTCTATAACTGTACAAACACACCAAACCTAATCAAACGGTTTAAATGTTTGATTGTGTAGGAAATAAAAGGACTGTGATCATAATTATTGGTGCGTAATATCAACAACGATCTAGGGGCGCCAGGTAGCTTAGTGGTTAAGAGCGTTGTGCCAGTAACCGAAAGGTCGCTGGTTCTAATCCCCGAGCCGACTAGGTGAAAAATCTGTCGATGTGCCCTTGAGCAAGGCACTTAACCCTAATTGCTCCTGTAAGTCGCTCTGGATAAGAGCGTCTGCTAAATAACTAAAATGTAAATGTAGTACGAGAGAGAGAAAGAGAAACGGTGAGAGAGAGAGGATGAGAGGAAGACAGAGAGAGGTGTGGTGGTGAACCAACCTGGGATGACATTGTAGTTAGACTGTCTCTCGTCAACACTCTTGTATGACTCAATGAAAATAGACGCTCCAGCGTTGGCTGGAAGGCTCTCCAGCCTTGTCAGACCCAGGGGGGGTTGAGATTGCTGATTCCCCCTGGCTCTCCCCTTCCTGGGCCCTCCTGCCTTCCTCCTCTTCCCCCATTCTAGCCCTCCTTGCTGGGGCTGGTTGAGCTCCGGGACCCCTGGCCCTCTCCTCCTCCGACCCTGGCCAGCCAGCCCTCTCTGGTCCTGGGCCCCAGCTCCAGCCACCTCCAGATACAGGTAGACCAGGAGGGACAGAGAGAAGAGAACCCAGCGCTCCATAGGGGCACAGGAGATAGTCTGTAGAGTAGAGTATTACTTTATTAATTGTTTTATCACAGCATGCATCATCAATGACTTACAATGACAGGACACCCAAAAAAGACCAACATAAAGACACACAAAGGCACATGCAACATAGTATCACAAAAATAATAATCTGATTCCAGTGCTGTTTTCTATCCTACTCTGGGGAAAACAGGCAACAACATTTTCCAATAGAAAGACCTCATAAAACAGTTCATGAATTACACTCATTAAAAAGCCTCATGGCTGTGGGTAAAACATTAGAATGAGGGGTTTAGATGCCGGTAAAACCCTTGATATAGAGAGCTGTCAGACACAAATGGCACCCTATTTCCTATACAATCATATTCCCCATAGGGCTCTGGTCAAAAGTACTGCACTATATAGGGAATAGGGTGCCATTCTCTGGCCTAAAGTACTGCACTATATAGGGAATAGGGTGCCATTTGGGATGAAGCCATAATGTTCCGTTTCCACATGCTATACCTCCATAATAACAAGCCTTGGGTCTAATGTTCAGTTTCCACATGCTATACCTCCATAATAACAAGCCTTGGGTCTAATGTTCAGTTTCCACATGCTATACCCCCATAATAACAAGCCTTGGGTCTAATGTTCAGTTTCCACATGCTATACCTCCATAATAACAAGCCTTGGGTCTAATGTTCAGTTTCCACATGCTATACCCCCATAATAACAAGCCTTGGGTCTAATGTTCAGTTTCCACATGCTATACCCCCATAATAACAAGCCTTGGGTCTAATGTTCAGTTTCCACATGCTATACCCCCATAATAACAAGCCTTGGGTCTAATGTTCAGTTTCCACATGCTATACCCCCATGATAACAAGCCTCGGGTCTCTAGTCCCAGACAGCAGTTTCCACATGCTATACCCCCATAATAACAAGCCTCGGGTCTCTAGTCCCAGTCAGACAGACAGTAGGCTAGGCACAATGCTCTCTCTGTCACCAGGGCATTCTTCTTTGTCTACACCCATTCAGAATCATTCACACCCTCTTAAGCCTTAGCCCCACCCATCTCTTTAAGGATTCCCATGTGAGGCCATGTGCTAAACAGAGTGAGTACGGTAGTGGACTAAACAACCAAAGATCTCAAGACTAAAGGCTGGTTTATACTAACGTCTATCGACGGTTGTCGCAGTGACATCATGAACATTCTATTGTCGTCCGACATCAAACTTGTCGTTGTCGTTATGAAAAAGTATAAACACAAAAACAACATGCTGCATGACATCAGCAGCCTGGTGGTCCACAATAGGATAACTGGTGTATTTTAACACCAATAAACTCCATATGTAAATCTAGCAAACCAGCCAACTAAAACCAACTTTCTAAACAATGTTTTGGTTCGTTTTTAGCTTGTTAGCTAACGTTAAGTTAGCTGGCTAGCCAGTTCAAATAATGACCATATCATATAGCTGACAACATCTTAACTTTAGCTAATATTTATTCATTATTACGGGAAAATAAACTCACAACAAAACAATTATTTACAAGTTGATGGCGAGCTAATTACAGAAAATAGCTTAGTGTGACGAAATAAAAGCAGGGCATTCTACCGGATAATTTTATAACTTGAACACTGTCTCGTTGAACTAACGTTATATCCTAATCTGACTTTGGTGCAGGTCATGTCGTTCTTCACATTACTGTCTCTGCTAAACACACACTATATCAAATGTTATTTGTCACATGCACAGAATACAGAAGGTGTAAACGTTACAGTGAAATGGTCACTTGCATAATGGGGTCTTTTGTTAAGACATGTAGCTAGCAAAACAATGAAACATAACCCAAACTCCTAACGTTACTACCATATTATGTGATGCAGCACAGGACATAGACTGAAATGTAGCAGCAATGAACGGGGTTCACAGGATGACAGAAAAGACACAAGACCAGTTGGATGACAAAGCAAGCACTCCATCATGTAGGAATTATCTTCCTTTATGTGCAATCAGTGAAATCATTCCCTTGATTATCTCTCAATACCACAACGATGACGCAGGTGAAGTTTAGTCTAGTGCTGTAGGTCTTTGAATGCAGAAGGTAATCATTCTTAAAGTCAATTACTTAATGTATTGAGTTTATATATACATATAAATATTTAATAATATATATACACGCTGACAGCGCAAGCAGCAGAACTTCCAGTTTCTAATTTTCAAGAATACATTTCAATTTTTCACTACGTTCAGATTACATTAATATGGCAACAATGGGATTTTACAGATATACTAATCACAATATTTCACATTGTTTGTCTGCATAATTTAAATCTAACATTAATTTGCATTAGACAAAGTCCACTTGATGAATTGTTATTGCTCTAGTATCCTGTGGTGCCACTGGTGCCAATGACCTCTATAGCGCCACCAACTGGTCTGGTGCAGCCATCTAAGGTTGCAGTGACTTTATATTCACACAGGACATATACATAAGGTTTACATACCAAGTGTCATGGCCCCATGTCCATCGGTTCAGTTCTTATAGCCCTGGTGTGATGTGGTGCCATCTAGTGGTGTGGCTGACTTTGATTCACTAATCATTCTCTAATTCATTAGATGCTATTTCATTGAGTCTATATTCCAAATATGGAGTCAATCTGACTTATGGTTCATGAGAAGATTATTGCAGATGATTTTGAGCATTAGCTTTGCATATGCAAAGAATTAGTTGTTGATAGTTTCTTTGTTTTTTGAGATATCAATACCAAATTCAGCGTGGTTCATATTAGGGACGTCCATGATAGAGATGACAAGTTACAAGTTGATAGGTCCCTGTGCAGTGGATTTACAGTGGTTTAAATTGACATGTATTTTTTGCATATTTTTGCATATTACCGATGTGCTGCTGGTATAGTGTGGCCATCTTTGAATTAATCAACGTTATTT